GCAACTGAAAGCTCTGAGTGTCACTGCAACTGTTATGGACAGGCGCGTCGGTCACCATCAGGCGCCCGACTAGTGCGTCCCGTCACTAAAAAAATTCTTATTATAGAAGCATCTATTTGTGACTTTGTAAAGACGACTGTCAAGAAGAGCCAGTCTGTTTTGTTTCTCGTATTAATGTTATGTCTATGAACTATAGCGTTCATGAAAAATTACTATAATGTAATGCTAGCGTAAAAATATTAATTTCTTTAAACTTAGCTCTCAGAGATACTCTGGGGCTAGTTGCTTCAACAGCACATTGTTCGTTATAGATTCCTATGAAATTAGTTACAAAATTAGCAACTTCAGTAGAACTATGTAATGAGAAGAAACAAGTTGTGTCAATTTACAATAAATCTAGCAAGCGCACGTCCACAATGTTATTCAAAAGCACAGGACCGTTCGTCACAACAACCTGTCAAACCAGAACATACTATAATACAACTTAAATTGTACCCATTCGTTACGTCAAGCGTGGACGCAAAACGTTGCTCACAACAAGAATCAAAAATACCCATTAACATCGTCGGGGACATCCGTCTAATTTAGCTTATATGGATTTTTACAATTATATAATATAATATTATTGAACAAATATGCGTTGTAGGAGCTGAAATAAAGCATTTGAAATACGTCAATACATTATTCTCCTGCTTGGGCAATCGGGTAAACATGGAAAAGAAAAATGCCAATTTGGACGTTACGTACGATGTGTGTGAAATGAGAATATGCACGCACAACATCCAAGCTCAGTCTTGAGTATTTTCTCTAAATTGACTAGTTGATTGATCCAGTTTCGTTCACAATATCAAGATAATAATATGTTCTACTTATTGAACGCTTAGCCTAATGATGAGAAGAAAATTCCACATTGAACCGACCAATATTCGGAGCCGAACTTTCTTCTCAACTGTGTAAGGGAATCATCATAGTTATCGACACGGGATCGTATTAAGCTTCAAGCACAAACTCACCTCGAAATTTTACAAGAAAACCGCTTTATTCAATATGTACATACATACATACATACATACCAATGCTTTTTTTATATCAACTGAATTAAACAGAACACGTACACTATGCGATATATGTTTTTCAAACGGCATTAATTTCGTTTGTTATCAAAATAAAGCCAGTGTCCTGTCACTCGATCTAAGCGAAACGAATCGTGTTAGTACGGGAAAATTTTTAATACCAGCTGATGTAGTATCGACCTTTAAGAGCATGCACGCTCTCGGCTCAAGCCGATCCTGCGTTAATAAATGTATTGACTCCCTTAAGATACGTTACCGAAACGATAAGAACCGTTTTAGAACGAGCATATTTTCTACTGAACCGGTGTTACTATCAAATCGTGCAAATCAAACAACTCGTACGCTGCTACTATATTTACAGCATCTACCTTCATAACGCGGCCGTTATCAAACCATTATAGCCCTCAAATTGCTGCATAATACAATACAATGTTAGTAAATACTACCTTACTCCATATACAAATGTTTCATTATAATTTATTATGGACTTGAATAGTCAGAGTGGAAGATTGGTAAAGCTTATAATTTTTTTGACATCGGAAGAAGAAAGACATTCATACATGGTCACTTGTGAACATTAATGACACAAAATACAAATATGGCCAAATGCTTCACTACCTCATAATCTTGTTTACAGGCAGCGGAGACAGCTCGTAGCGCATCACCATTCATCATTATGCCAAGTGATTAAGCAATAAGTTAACATTATTATAACTAAATAGCAATTCTCAAATTATATTATTTATTGTGTGTTGCTGTCATCAAATCTGTTATCAGATTGGAATAACGCCTGCGCGGGAAAGAAAGAGAGAGTGCAATCTGTCATTGCACATTCTGTGATAAATGAAAAATAAAATAAGTTTTTTGATTATTTTTTTTTTGGAAATTACTCCACTAAGCAGTTTGTTATAATTATTAATACAAAGATCGAACACCTAGAAAAAAATCTTCGATCCGTCTCAATTTGAACCAGGGTAATCTAGCAAACCGTGCTAGACACTATGGCAACTAAGCTACGGATCGAACCAGCGGACCTTACGAATTTTTTATGTGCTTGTTGCAGATTTTTAACAACTTTTTTGCCGTAGCGCCATCTGTGAGAAATCTATTTCTTCACTCAGCCAGGTACCTTTACAGCTACTACCAGCTGACCAGAGGTGGCGCTTTAATAATTGTAAAATAATTGTATCTAGGGTAACATGTTGATCAACTGCGGCCTTACCTTTAATGGGCAACATCATCAATGGGTCACAAGTCTACACTGAATGAAATATTAATTTTGTATTTGTAGAGTAATTTAGAAATTTTCCGTAAGTGTATGAGGGGGCCGTATTAATAAGCAACTTCTGAGTTCGGTATTACGTGCGCACTGGCTAGGACCCCACACAGATCTCAAGCTCTCCTGGGTCAATAGATCATAATGCATGATATCTTGGATTAGGGACTTGATACTATCACGCGCTCGAACGACGCGTCACTGAGAAATCTTCATGTGCACTAATACGACATCAATATCGACTATGCACTTTGATGGATTTACTCTAACGGGCCCTTTAAATTTTAGCAAGTAAGATGTTTTTCAAGAATTAAAGTTACTCACGAAGGGTAAACGATGCCACAGTTGAGTACATATACTATAGAGGCATTACGCGTATCAACAGTAACGTACCTATACCTAATAATTGATTTATGTCGAAGTGGTAACATAACAACATATACGTATAATTCTATTAGAATAATTCTGTACATAATAATTAATACATATTACACATTTAAACAGGTACTTATTAACATTTTCATAAGAAGTAAAATAATTATGTTTTTCTAAATCTAAATATCAAATACTGTGATATAATAAAATACAGGGCGTCACAAACAAGTGTAGTAATTCTTTTTCGTGAACAGAATTTTCGTTCTCAAGTGTTACTACACCATTTTGTAGCATAACATTCAAATAATATTATACTTCATAAGTTCAATTCAAAGATTACTTTTAGTATTTGTTAGAACATATAAATATACAGTGTATTATAAAGGAATTCAGTCACTGTATCTGTGACCTGTTTTAACATGTCATTGCAACTCAGGAACACATACAGTCGCGTCAAATTGAACACATCCGGCCAACGTATACCTACACGGTATTAGGTAGAGAGGTGCTATTGACACCATGGTAGCTAGAAGTAAGTGCAACCTAATTGGTTCAATTACACAATTATACTCTGGCCACACAGAGCGGCCGCGGAAGCGTTCCGGGCGCAGGAATGTTTGTAATGCACGAGTTCACATGAACGCTTTCCCGGAACGCTTCCGCGGCCGCCTCTGTGTGGCCTGAGCATTACATTCAATCGGATACTGAAAGCTGTACGAATGGCGAATGAGATTTCAACTATCATTAGATCATTATAGGGTTTTTTTTTTTCACTTTTTTTATTTATCTCATCATCTTGTTTTTCAACTTTCCCTGAGGATTTTACGACCGCTTTGGACACAAATTTCACATGCGTCGTCACCCTAAAGTTTGAAAATGAGCAACAGCTTGTTGTCATTTATATCGGAGGCGAGATTTAATCACAACAGTCCATCATGCAATGTAAGGGATGGACCTCACTTGTCAGCACGCATCGAGCGTGTTGGCTATAACTCACACTGCAAATAAACAGGCAGAGGGTCCTGGTCGAAGCGTTCTTTGTCAGACCAGGTTGGTCAAGAAGTTCACAACAGGTGACAGAATTTAGGTAAACGTGATCGAAAACGAAAATGACAATCAGTCAATGCTAATA